AAGGATATCAATGCTTCATACTGTGAACCATGCACCATTGAATCAAGGATACATGTGAGAAGCAAGGATCACCAATATGAATAATCAAATCCAACATAGATTAGATATATAGAATCTAGTTCAATCGAACGTTGAATCAAAACAGAAATGAGAGAAGGTAGCTGATTCGCTAAGATCAAAGGACGATGAAAACCCTAACCCTCACGACCATAAAAATCTCTGCACTGTTTTTAATTAATTTGTTAAAAGACTGAACAATTAAAAAATGTTAATTTATATTATGCTTCTCTGTTAGTAACATTAGATATATTTAATAAACTTCTAAGAAGGGTTCAATTTTAAAATATCACATATTAAATAGAAAATATTTAAGTCAGTGGCATATGATGGTAATTATTATGGAAAAATCAGGATTAAGTACAAAATGTACTTCAGTTTTAATAGTTTAGATTTATTATTTGTGGTCGATTGCATAAGGAATATTAACTAATCTAAAAGAAAAATAAATCAACAACAACACTGATCTATGTAATCTTTCAATAAACAGAGTAACGTTTAGCATACAATTAGCCCTGTAGAACTGAGGTAGCTTGATCATAATCATACTCACATAAACACACTTGTATGATAAGCACGTCGAGGTCAAAAGCACGATATTCTGACGTGAACCCTTTACATAAGAATCAAAACAGAAAAGCAAGAGATGAGAAGTATGATGAATGGCGAGGTAACAAGTTTTGGAGTTGCGTTAGGAAGCCATGGATATGCGTCTGGAGGTGGCATAACGCAGTTATCGCCGTTGAAGTAAATGCGTCTTGGAAACGCCCATCCTTTCTCGAACGTGAACTTTGACAGGGTCTTTTGGAAGAGAAGTTCTGACTGTACATTGCCTAATGGACCGGCTTGGCTCAACATATCGTTGTAGAACTTGATTCCCCATAGCATGGCCGTGTCATCTGCAATGTATGATCCAAATACATATATTTAATTACATAAAAAATGCCTTCATGTTACAATCTAAGCAAGCTTAGTTTTTTCTTATAGGCATCGCAAGTGTATATGTGCGTACGATCTAAACTAGTATTGTCTAGGGATTATAAGGGTATCCGAGTCTACGATGTAAAGCCTCATCATCATTTATTATTCTTATGAAAATGAATGTGGTAAGTTATTACACTGCTGGGTGTAATCTGTACATGATACGGTTTCACTCCAATAATTATAGGTTTAATCATATTTTCATACTTAGAACGTAACCCCAAGCTTACCAAGAGTTATGCATACAAACAAAAGAAAGCAATGTTTAAAAAATCACTGGACTGTAATAGTTATTATTTAAATGATTAGTGTCTAGGCGCCGATTAAACTATTTTTTCTTATAAAATTGCTTAGAACATAAAAATCCCGGGTTAATCATGTTCTTATGGTCGGTTTCCTGTCTAGGTGGCGTCTAAACCGAATATTAGAACACTGAGAGAAATAAAATGCGAATAACGGAAAAATAGTTACGGACTTACTTATGCCATAGTAAGGACTAAGAGGTTTGTAGTTAAAGCTGAAAAGCTGAGTAACATTGTCGAAGTTGGGATGCTGAGCGACCAAATTCCATTGCGAGTAATTCATATTATAGTTAAAGTTTGTGATTGTGACCTTTACTCGCCAGTACTCTTTGTAGTTAGTTTTAACATGCCAATGAACTCGGATGGGACACATATGCTGCGTACATTGCAAGAGCTCTTCATGGTTGTTCTTCCCTGAAGAAGCTTGTATTACCGAAGCTATTTTCTGGCTGTTTACAATAAATAATTAATAAAACAAACAAAACCAAGATTAATTAAGTTCCTAAGAGAACATGAACTTACTCGACACATGTACCGGTATGGGAATTATTTTGACAACCACACGAACATGTTGGGCATGGTACGATAGTTTTATCGTAGAAGGATGAGAGTGAGACACAACAAGTGGGAGTTTTCTTGGCTAGAAACTGCGAATATGTGCACGTCATGTTCCATGTCACTAAATACAACAACAACAAAAAATGTAAAATTAGAAACAAGAAAAAAAAACATAATTTAGAATGGAACTCTAAAACCTCTAAACTTACACATAGCTTGGGTCTTTCTTCGTTTATCATCTGTAAAGAATGTGGTCGGCGCAACGATCTTCGCGGGGCCGCAAGTGTAACCAGGTCCTGGTGCCTTTAAAGTGACGTTCCTAGGTGCTCTAACAGTTGTATTAGTTGTTCCAGATTGGCCAACACTAATCAGAAAAGCAGAAGCAGCGGTTGTGGGGTCTTGTGCCCACGAACTAACCACACCGCCTCTACAACAGTTGGATATCTGGCGGTTGTAGGGAGTTCCTGGTAACATGTCAACGACGGTCGGAGTTTTCTTGCAGCAATGAGGAGGGTCACCTTTGAACTTAGAACAATCTCCTTGCTCTGTGGCTTGCGCACCAACCATATTCCATATTACTTCCTTCTTTAACCAAGTCCATCCCAGTTGCCAACCCGGGGCCTGAATGTGACGGTATTGTTGATAATTGAAGATTGTTACACGAGCCTGAATAAAAATAAACATTTGTAACAAGATTATGATTATATAAAGTGGCATTTCAAAAGATTTGGGATTTTGAGGGGTAAAGTTTTAAAGATTTCTTACCACATAGCCATCAGGAGTCCAGCTCAGGATATCCCATTTTATGGTAATGTTTCCAGTTGGATCAAGTGCATCATAAGCTTCTGTGTAAAAGATAATATCAAATTGGTGAGCTCATAACCAGGAAGAGAGCCAAAACCAGAAATAAACAAAACAAAAAGAAAAAGTTTATTTTTTCTCTTATCAATATATTAATAAGATAATATAACATATCAAAGCTTATGCATTCTACAAGTTGACCATCATCACCATTATTTCATAGTAATCACTATCACTGTTTCTTAGAACCAACAGTAATTATCACATAATGCAAAAGAGCCCAAAGTTTTTAAAACAAAAGAAAAAGGAACTTTTATCATCTTTGGGTCAGAGAAGTGAACCAAACCTGTTGTGGTGAAGATGGTCCAAGAAAGGAGAAATAGAAACAAAGCTGAGAATCTAGAGAAGAGAATTTCCATTTCTGTGATTTCTGGTCTTTGATCAACCGTTTCTTGATCTCAGAGGAAAACTTCTCGAAGATGTGAAAGTGAGAATGAAAAGAGCTGGCTTTAGTTAACTTTAAGACTTGGAAGCACTAAAAACCAAAAGTTCCTAGTTTTAATCGGTTTTTACTTGCTTAAGCTTTCTATGTATTAATAGATAATAATTATAAACATTGACCAAAAAGTTTGATAATTATAAATCTTTCACAGGAGTTGCATTACTACTATTGTAAATACTCTGAAGAAGCATTCACTATTTATATACATCACGCTAATCTTGGGTATTGACGTGTTGTAGCTGAAGATGTATTTCTTAAATGAGATTAAGCGAGAGTAGGAAAATAAAAATTGAATTAAGTTAAGAGTAGGCCCCCTAAAAATCATTGATGATATGATACGTCATGGGAAAATATACTTGCTGCTGCAACATGACATTCCGTTAGAATTTCCATTAATGATGTAAAATAAATAAATATCATCATGTGCGAAGGTTTGGTTTATCGATGGTACTAATATTTTTATTTATTTTTGATAAAAGTGTTCAGAAATAGAAAAGGAAAATCAAATATACGGAAGCTAAGTATTTTTTTTTTATCCCAAACTATAATGATTTTTCGTCAACTTAATAAATTAAAATAACTTTGTTAAGAAATAAAATAATTTTTTTAAACAAAGCCTAAATCTTCAGCCTGCCAAATAAATCGAATAATATAAATCGAAAATAAATAATTATTCAACTGAAATACTGTAGATTTTGTTCAGTCGCTTCATCCTATAGCTATTTGCAAAGTACAGTTGTTTTCAGTCAAAAGAAGAAAAAAAAGTATAGTTGTTTGGAGAAAGCGACCGCATATTTGTCTATTCGTTTGGGTCCACCAGAATCTAAAACCTCAGTTTTCATACGTCTGTCAGGGAGTACACAATCACCGCCAATCGATATGGCACTACCTTGTCAGCAAGCTGCGTTACGTTTGGTCTGGTTGTGTTCTTGTTCTTCTTTCTGATAATATTCATATTTTTTACTATATTTACAGGACCTTTACTATCAGTTACGAAACCTTGAAAATTGTTCAAGTAATCATTTAGTAATATTTTTACTATATTTACAGAACCTTTACTATCAGTTACAAAACCTTGAAAACTGTTCAAGTAAAATCATATGGGCTTCGGTTCTTAAATTGGGCCTATCCCGGGTCACTGATTATTGGTCGGCCCACAAAACTATAACAGAAATGTTAATTTGTACTAACTTCCCTAAATGTATGCTCATGTTGTCATTTTCTAATTTTGTGGTACATGTTCTGCGACCAGAGACTGAATTAGCAACTAGTTTTAACTCAAAAATATATCTATTAATGCTCTTGGATTCGATGCCATCATCAGCTATACTCTCTTAATTTGGTTTAATTGAATAAACCTCTGTAATCCAAAGTCCTTAGTGAAATAAGAAAATAATTTCTTCATTGTTATCTTGTTTTAGTTCTTTTAGCTTAAGTTTTCAAATTTCATCATGCATCTAAGCTAAAAGAAGCCTCTGGGAGAAGAAGCAAAAGAGAGATCCTGATGAAGAAGGACAAAACTATTTATTCATGTTTAAAAGCTAAAAAAATCTAGGAGATGTGGAATTATTGAATGGGAAGAAGAAGATAATATCCTTTTTTCAATTATACATCCATACATTAGATTAGTACTGTCTTGTAATTATTTGATTTTGTTTTGTTTGATCCCAAATCTACCACTTGCTGAAATGGTTGACATTAAAATTGTACAGTCACTTCACATGTGTATAACTTAGTTTATGTGAATCATATAACCTCATCAAATACATAATTTTACTTTTGACAACGCAGAGTCATTTTTATTCATTTCATCTTTATATTACTTGCAAGTAGGCTTTAACTCTTATTGTATCTTATTGTTATAGCAAACTCTTGACAAGGGAACACACATAATAATCAAAAAGAGAATAAACAAAAGAACAAATAAAAAGGGGTAAGAAACTAAAACAAAATTTAGCTAAGTGGCACGTTTGCATCTATTGTAGTAAGTGCAAGGTGCGTTTCCTCGGTTAGCTATTCCGATACAATTACCTGCGATCTTACCATTACAAGTTGGCTGCTTCTGCAGAGCTTTGTAGCTTAGTTTCCTCCTCTGTTGTTCCAGAATCCTCCTCACCACCGCCTCAACTCCCTCCTCATCCTCCTCAACCACCGCCTTTATGCATTCACTTACTGTGTCTCCGGAAGCACAGCCACCATTACTAATCCCACTTGTCACGTTCCCTGCAGATGCAGTTGTCGCAGTGAAAATAAGCATAAGAGAGACGGTGAAGAAGAATAAGAAGAAAACTGATCTTGTCATGTCTTAGTAGATGTAGAAGAATGAGAACAATAAGATGATAATACATCTCATCTTATATTGTCATGTTACACATTATTAGTTTACAATTTTTTATTCATTTTAGTTGGTCTAATAATTGCGGTTGGTCATTGACTCCAGTAGAGATAAAACATAATATTATTTATTTAAACAACAAATTATTAAATAACATTTTTTATAAACATTTTGTTTCTTGTGAAAAACAGAACAACAAGAAGAAAAAAAATACAGACATAACAGTAAAAAGAAGACAAAAACAAAATGAAACAAGAAACTACAAAGGAAGAGAGATCTTCTTGATGAAGACACCTACCTATGAGAGTCTTTAATCCTTGCAATCTCAAGCAAAAATTTATGCAAAGCTTGTGGCTTAGAGAAAAAAGGAGCATGATCAGCACCTTTTAACCTGTAAACTTTTTCAGGTGGACTACTATTGATCATGTTTTCTTGGAGAGTCACTGGTATAGCATTGTCTTCTAGCGTCTCTATATAGTACCGTCTCACTGATCCGTAGTTACTATCTGAGAGAGAGAGTTTCTCAAGAACCGGTGCAAATGGGATTGACCTCATTGACACAGAAGCTAATGCAACATCCTTTGAAGGGCTTTGATTGAACAAAAGGTCTTTAAGAAGAGACTTCTCTAAGTCAATAGCTGTTGGAGTGTGTTCATTGCCGTTTGTGTAGATAAATATCTGAGCTTCTCTCATTAAATCATTCTGACCTGCCTGCAGCGAGAACATATCTAGTGTGCTTTGACCATTAGTTAACATAGCTGCAGCGAGGAAAACAGCTTTTGAGATCTTTGAAGGAAAGAGTTCCATGGCATAAGATGTACATGCTCCACCGAAGTCATGACCAACCAAGATCACCTGCAGATGTTTTACATCAGAAAACATTTTTNTCTCATTAAATCATTCTGACCTGCCTGCAGCGAGAACATATCTAGTGTGCTTTGACCATTAGTTAACATAGCTGCAGCGAGGAAAACAGCTTTTGAGATCTTTGAAGGAAAGAGTTCCATGGCATAAGATGTACATGCTCCACCGAAGTCATGACCAACCAAGATCACCTGCAGATGTTTTACATCAGAAAACATTTTTTAAGAAGATGAAATCATAGAGGCAATCAGAAAACAGAACCTTCTCTCCTGTGGGAAGCTTTTCAAGAACATTAGTTAGTGGCTTCACGTATTGTGACAAGCTTGCGATGCTGTTTATGTTAAAGGAGTTGATACCGCAACCAGCTAAGTCTATGGCGGTAACTTTGAAACCATCTTCTTCGAGGAGGGCAATGGTTTTGTACCAACACCAAGCGCCGAAACCTCCTCCATGGATAAGGATAAAATGGTTTGTTTCCAAGTCATCTAGCTTTATACCCTAATTAAAGACAGGAATAAAGAGTTTAAATTCTAGATAAACAATGAAACCAAGAAAATGTATTAAACTGTTTCCTATTTTGCAAGTTGGTGAGGCTTATATGGCACTTAGGGTAAACAGAAACTAAGGATTAAGGTGAAGAAGTTGTCACAACAAATATATATGAAACAGTCTTACATGGAAGATAGAACCAACACATGAAGAGGATAATTACAGTTCAACAATGATATTTGGCTAAAACTAATTGGTATGATTTTTCAACATTAAGATTCTCTTTTCTTTTTTAATATCAGAAGGTTTGGGGTCAAAGCTTGTAATCAAGTAATATTAGTTACGTCCCAAGTAACCAAGTAATATTAGTTTCGTCCTAGCGGTCACTTGAACATGAACCTCTGACACAAGGGCTGAGGTCCTTTTTAGTTGAACTAAGGACCTCAACATCAAAATTCTCATTATCTTTTTGAGACTATATATTTTCATTGTCACCACAATCACATTATTGTTCATATTCAATGAAACAAAAATAGAGGCACTAGGTTTGCCAGACTCTAACACCAACCTCTAAAGTGGTTGAGCCAACAAAGTACATTAAAGAATCAACCTCGAATATGAGAATCCAATTCATTGAATGCCCAAGAAAGTAAACTAATCAATGCTCATCACATGTCACATTTTTAACATACCTAGAGTAAGATACTACACAGAAATCAATTCAAGTTCCAAAGAATGTCTCTAGTCAAACACCATTAAGACAACTTAATATCTTACTTGTCAAACTTCTAATTTTGAATTAAGACACGAGTTTGACTAATGTCTTTGACTTAGTCAACGAAATATTATTCAAAGTCAAAAAAAAACCTTGCTAAGAAACTGATGAGGCTGCAACAGAGGATCCGTGGAGGATCTTGACCTTGTGCTGGAGCTCCGAGGTAGCTGATTCTTCTTCGAACCAGAAACAGGATAACGTTGCGATGCGGACCGATCAAAAGGAAGCGATCCAGCGTCGCCGCTGTTCTGCTGTCCGAACAAAATGGTATCTTCGAACTTGTTGTCCCTCGTAGAAGATGATCTGATCCTGTTTCTAGGACCGGAAGATGATCTTGGTACGGAAGGTTGTCGTTTCGTGATGGGTCGTCTCTTTTTGATGGGCTTAGGCGGAGCAAACAAAGAACAGAGGTTTCCCATGTATGATAATGAAAAAAGAGCTCGAGCTTGAGAGATAGAGAGAGAGAGAGAGTAAGAAAGTTTGGGCTTTATGGAGTTTTAGAGAGAGAAGGTGACGTGGCGGGTTCAGGTGAAAGTGAAAGTGAAAGTGGTGGCGAGAAGCTGGCAACTTTTGAATAGCCTTTCTCATCGTGTGCAACCGTGAGTTTAGAGTGGGACCAATGCTAAATAGGAAATGTTATGTCCTTTTTCTAAAAGATCAATATTCTAATTTTTTCACACTTTTTAATAAAATAATAAATTTACATATTTTTTTGTATTTATTTTATTTTTATAATTTTAAATCAATAAAAAATTAATTACACTAATTAATTTTTTTAAAATTTATAATTAGTTAATAAAATATACACTGAAAATATAAAAAATAAATCTTTTAAAAACATTTTCTTTATAGAATATGTATCTTTAAGGAATGAAGAGAGTATAATACATGTGTTATGATATATGGAAATGTTTAAAATGATTAATTTGGTTATCTATATCACTAAAATACACTTAATTTTTCATAAACACATTCAAAGTAGTGTAAGAATAAGCGAACTAACGAGAAATGATTTGCGATACTATATAAATGAGACCAAAACACAAGAAAATATCATGTGGTGATTGGAGAATCAGTAAACATAACTCTCGAATTTTAAGAAATTAACAAATCAACCGTTGGAACATAATAAAATCTATCTATTAACCGTGGATGGTCGGTGGGACTTTACAATAATATTATAAGTACATTTTGTTTTCTGTAAAGGATTTTATTTAGAAATATATTGTTCTTTATGTGCCCGCACTATTAACAAGGTAAAAACTATACATTAACAGTGCCGGCGAGGATTCTATAACAAGTGTATCAGTCTCTATAACTGGGGGTGTTAATCCGGTAGGAATCTCTGATGATACATGGACCATATTCATTAGTAAAGGGATCACTATCCAGTCTGGGGAACTAGTTGTATTCTATTTCAGGACTGATGGAGCATTGGTTTAAGTTAGTGTGAGATGATGTACTCAAGGGAGTGAGATATAGTTGCAACTTCTAAGCTTCGAGGCAGAGATGGAAAATTAGACAAATTCTAGGAAGTAGCTTTGTGATCCTACTCGCCACAATTAGCACCCTAATTAGACAATTCTAGGAAGTATAATGCGTCAGCTATTGTAATGGAACCGCTTTTATCCTCTAAAGCCAACTTTTGAGGGAAAGATTTATTGTAATGGTCCACCAGTATTTAGTTTCATCCATTGCTTGTCTAGTACAGTTCTGTCTAGCCAAGGCTTGCTTGTGTAGTACTCTTGTTTGAATAGTTTTTATTATTGAACTTCATACTTTTTCACTTGTTTTTTCAATGTTAGAAAAATTATCACATTCTGGTTACATCTCTGTTAATAGAGCAGTAGTTTCCGTTTAGTTATGATAAAACTTACAGTTTTATAAATATTGCAAGGTGTAACTTTCTCGTGGCTGTCCACTTACCGAGACAAAGCACTCCTCCACATTATGCTTCATTAAGATATATAAAAAGACTGATAAATCACGCTTTTATTCAAAATATGATCGCAGAAGATCAACATTTTGTTTGGACCACCACTATATTATATGTAAAAGTAATTTTAGGTTTAGGGAATCAGATCCGAGGCATATGACTAAATATATGTCAAGATATGTAGATACTAAGCTTTCATCATCACATAGCATGTGGATTAATCTATTAATGCAATATGTATGCAATCATATAATAAGTATAAGTGTTTTAAAAAGTTGAACTAGATTTTGATACGCATTTTGAAAACACTGGAATATTTTGTGATAAAAAATTCATTAACAATTTTAAAAATGTTTTGTTCGTTTGGAAGTTTTTTTTTGTTCAAAATACTTTTTTTTTGCATTTAAATCAGCGATTTTATACTTAGTAAATCAGAGTCTCACTGATAAATTCAGTGACCCGATATGTAATCCAAGTTTGGTCTATAAAAATATCTATTATTAAAAATCCGCACAAAATATCTAAAACCCAAGACTAACTGGTTAACTGATGAAATATAACCCAATTTGATTTAAATTATTATTCTAAAACTTTAAAAGTCAATTTCAATAGATCTAGTATCCATTAAATATTTAAATACTTCTTAATAACATTATTTTGTTTTTATATGTTTTATCTCCAACTTATTACAAAATTGTTTAAATGATCTTTTATGTTTTTATGTGAAATGGGGAAAAAATAAGAAAATATATTTTAAATAATTCCTATATTTGAAACATGTTTTTAGGTAATTATTTTATCTGTAAAGGCGTTTTATATATAAGGTAATGATCAGGTCATATATCCTATATTTGATATCAATTTATTGTTTGAGTTATTATATAATACTCCCTCTGTTTTATAATGTTACAAATT